TTGCCTCTCTATCTCATTTGTTTTTAGATTCATTGGCCATTCAACCTGGATTTCATACCCTGCTTCTTTTTCTTTCTATATTGCCACTAGTAGAAGGTCATAAAAAATTTTTCACACTAACGGAGATATTACCTCTCCTTGGTCGATTCCATCTTGTGCTTGGAAATGATCTGTTGGCTCATAATTTGTTAGAACCTCCATTTCTTTTTTTTAGTATAGGTCTAAAATGAAACTTCTTGTTATTTCTGGAATTTTTATTCTTTTGAGTGCTATGTCTAGCATTTGGAGGCTTACTGAATCAAATGCTTTTTTCATATCTTGAAAAAAGAGCCAGACCTCTTTTTTCTTTTCTTTAGCATCTTCTAGAATATAATTTAGTAGATGTATTAGCGCAGCTGTCTCTTCTTCAGGTAATCCTGCAAAATTTCATCCTTTAAGGACTTTTTTTTCTTTTAGTACCTGGCCGAGTCTATTGTTTACTATTCTTACTACCGATTTTTGAAAAGTCTCCAGGAGTAGAATAGGTCTGACATTATTGAGCTTGTATCCCCATTCTTCTTTCTTTGGAATCAGGTAAAGCATTTCAATTTTCCACTTCTTGGGGATTTTACCTGTCTTTATACATGCTGAGACCAAACCAATAAAGATGCTTTTTGCAAATTTTTCTACATTTTTGAGCAGAAGGTAAGGTATTTTAGATATTTCTGGGGCGGAGCTATTTTTGGTTTGGTTTAAAGCTGTCTCCCATTCTTCTTGTTTTACAGAACTGGTTAGATCCTCGTACAATTCTTTTTTAACTTCTTCGATTAGCTCGTATTCTTTTCTCCAAAAGGATGGGAATCTGTCCACTTTTGTATTTCTTTCTCTGAATTGCCTTTGGAGGTGGTCTTTGACTGCATTAAGCACTTCTTAAGGCTTGTGTATCAGCTCCTCTTTTGCATTTTCCCTCTCTACTACTACTCTGTCTAGTTTTAGCTTATTAAATAGTTTTTCTAATAGGCTAGTGATCATTTTTCTTTGGTCGCTTACTATTATCACATGCCTTCTTTCAATATGTTCTTGTATTTCTTTTTCCTTTGCTTTTCTCTTTTTTGATTGCCATGTTTTGTAAAGGCTCTTCCACCATATCTCAAGCTCTCTTCTATCATTCGTTTCTTCTTGGCATTCTTGTATACCTGCTTCGGACTGATCTTCTATATATTTGTCTTTTAATACTGCTAGCCATTCTCTTGCTTTCTTGCTTACCTGCTCTTCGTATGAGTTTGTTGTATTTTCAAAATGTGAGAGTTTTTTGAGCTTACGACACCATTTTCCCATTACTCTTATATCTTTCCTCAAATCCTTCAACTCCTCATTTTCAATTTGGTGGTCTTGAAGTTCAGGTGTCTTTTCTTTTTTAGATAGTGTACTTTTTGCCACTTTTTAAATTGCTTTTTGTATTTTTTCCTAGGTTTTATCGAGGTCTACATTTTTTTGTAAGTTTGTTATGCTGGGTAGTTGTTGTTGTTCTCTACTTTTTTCTTTATTTCCAAAGAGTTTCTTTAATTCTTTTTCTAGTTTTTCTTTATAATTGTTCCAGTCCTCTTCAGTTATTTTTTTAAGATCTATACAGACCCTAGCTTGATCTTTTTTGCGAAGTCTTGCAAAAGGTACTTTTCTCTTGTATAATTCTGTTTCTATTTTGGCTAAAAGTAACTTATAATCACTTGCTATTATATGCTCAGCTTCATATGCTTTGCTTGCGATTATATTTCTGCTCAAGTCTTGAGATACCCAGATATAATCAATTTTTGTTTCACTACCTCTGCTTGCCCAAGTTGTTATGTGTTCCTGGTGGTTCGCTATCTTGAGTATATCAACCAGATTTTTTTTTTCTATAAGATCTATAATTTGTTTTTTCTTGTTTTTTGGTGTTCGTAATAGTGCTTTTCCTTTTCTCTTTATTTGGTTTTCTTCTATTGCTAGAGTGTCTATGTTAAAATCTTCCAAAATTATGATACTGATTGGTTTGTGCTCTTGAGTATCTAATTTTTCTTTTAGATATTTGTATATCTCTTCTTGTATCTCCTGATTATTAGGTGCTATATACAGGGCGATGATATATAGCCTTAGTCTTTTAAAATCAAGCCTTAACTCTAATATATATAGGTTAATGCTTTTTACTTTAGATATATGGTTTTCCCATCTTTTTTCTATAATAATTTCTACTCCTGACCCTTTTTGCTTTTGTTTGTCTACTGTTGTCCAAAAGCTATGATACCTCTCATATTTTTTAGTAAGAAGAGAACCTTCAATTTCGGAGATGTTGGTTTCCCCTAACCCTATAATATCTATTTTTTTCTCTTTTATGAAATCCATAAGTAAATCAAATCTACCTTTGTTTGCCTTAAGCTCGTTAATATTGTAATAGCTGATATTTAATATTTCTAGTATTGTTTTATTGTTTTTTGGAGGATTGTCTATATCTATATTTGATATATGTGAGCCTCCAATCTCGCTTTGACTCTTATAGGTGCCCCCGGCTACTTTTAGAAGTGGTTTGGGGTCTCTCCTCCAGTATTGTTTATTTGTTGTTCCTGTTTAATTTCTAGATTTTCAAGTTTGCTCAAAATTTGACTCAGGAGACTCTCTATTTCTATATTCTCTTTCTTAAATGAAGGTTCTTTGGCTGTGTAGATTTTATAATTTCCAGCACTTCTTGCATCTAGTTTGTTTACTAGGGGCTTTCTCAGTTCTTTGTTAGTTTGGTTTTTGCTATTTGAGGCCTTGTGTATTAGTTGACATTCAAGGAGAAATTCATTTTCTTTGTTTTCTGTAGAGCTTTCTGCTACCTTCTTTATACTGTTTCTTGAAACAAATATATCTGTTTCTTCTTGTTAATTTTCTTTGTTCTTCACCACCCAGTCTAGTTTTGTATTGTAGTTGTATACTGGGTGTTTGCATGCTATCTGTTTGTCTTCTTCACTTGCAAAATAAATGCTTGCTATTTGCTGTTGATTGCTATTTCTATTTTTGGAAATATATATAGCCTTTACCTTTGATTTGTCTAAGAAAGGCTGTCTCTATTGCTGACTTGGAGATGTTTCTAATTATTGCTTTGTGTTTACTTCTTTCTTGAAGTACTTCAGCATCAAACCTGGCTTGGGTTAATCTTGGCATTTTACTCTTCTCGAGATGTATTGCCCATATTGACTGTAGCAGTTCTTTTTTTCTTTCATCTCTTGGTTCTATTGCGATGAAAGCTGCTTTGTTTTTGCTATTTGCCATGAAGCTTAAAACTGTTGCTTTTCCATAGTATCCTAGATATTTTCTTATATGGTTGGCTCTTGTTTTATTTGGTATATCCCATACCATGATATTAATTTTTTCGGGTCTTTTATTTGTTTCTTGTTTGTATTCTTTGCTTTCTTTTGACGCCTACATTGAGTTGTAGATATCATTTTTGCCTGTGATTTCTTGAGACTGATTGGGAATAGAATCTTTTTGGGCAGGCTCTTCTGCTTTTGTTGCTTCATGGGAGTTGTTTTGGGACAAAGCATTATTCTTTGCACTATTGGGGATTTCTATATTGGCTTGTTCTTTATTTGTATCAAAAGTTTGTTTTGCTTTTCCTTCTTCTTGCATGTTTTTATTTCTGCTTTCTTCTATCCTATAGTCAGTCTGGCTACATTTGTGTTTAACTAAACTATTTATTAAGCTATTTGCGTCTGAGTTTTTTGGGCCAAAAAAGCTATTTTTAGTAGTTATAAAGTTTTCCCCATCTCTTATTCTGATGTATTCACAATAGTTATAGATTTTTATAATATTTCTAAAAAGATATATGATTTCAGGTTCTGTTCCGGTTAGGGCTGCTAGCTCTTTGTCTTTACGCAGAACTTCTCGTTCATGGTTTTTTTTAATTTTTTTAAAATCGTCTTCTGATTTTGTAAAGATCTTTTGATATTTGTCTAACTTCTCGTACCAGTTTATACTGGTAGATGTTTCTTGATTATCACTTACTACCAGACTCTGCATTTTGTTCTAGATTGTTGTAGTGCTTTGTTTGTATATTTTGATTACATATATGTTTGTTTGTTTGTTTATTTCGGAATACATAACGTGAGTTTATTTTCTTGTCTAAATTAGATCTATGTTTGTTTGTTTTCTTGTTTCGCGTTTGTGCATGTAAACAGATCTACAGTACAGGGTCTAGAGCAAACTTCCAAATTTTCTAAAAAAAATTTTCAAACAGTTTTTCATTCTTGTAAAAGACTTATTTTCGTAGCTATAGCTTTTTAGGCTTGCTTGGTTGTCTTAAACTTCTAAGTAACTAGTGTTTGTTTTTGAAGTTCTTTTCTTTTTCTTAATACTATATAGGCTGTATCCTAGTCTGGATTTTCCTCTAGTTATCGTTTTTTTTTTTCGACAAATTTGAAACTGAGGATCAGCGGAAAGAGTTGTCCAGTATATATATAATATGTTAGATATCTTATTACTATAAAAAAATATATAGCTATTTATATAATTACTAAATTTGATATATTAAAATCTAGATTTTAAAAGTTACAAAAAGTTGGTAGTTATAGTAAAAAAGTATATAGACTTGAAATATTTATCTAATATAATAAAGATATCTATATAGCTTGAGTTACAAATTTCTAACAAATATACCAAGTAAAGATACAAACTAGATATATCAAATTAAAGCAAAAAGCATCTATCTGAAGTATTAATATACCAATTTAGAAGTTAAGATAGTAAATAAAATATATAAAGCAAAGAATATATAAAAGTTAATTTAAGATATATAAAATTTAGAGCAATCATATATAAAAATATTGATAGCTCTAGTAAGGTTTAATTATAAATAAATATATAATTTATATATCTAAAGTTCTAGTTTCAATACTAATATATAATATATATATATTTATAGTACTATTATATATATATTAATTTACTTAAATACTATATTAATAAAAGTTTGAAGTAGATACTATAATAGTTTTTTTTATAATATAGCTGAAATTGCCAAGTTGAGGTATATAGTTATATCTGAAAAATTTATAATAAGTTGGGTAGGTTAGCTAATACCAAGACTTTGTATCAGTATATAAATATATAGTTAATATAGTGTATATAGAAAACAATAATATATTTTTATAAAAGAAGATGTTTATAGTAAAGTGGTAGAGTTGTCACATCTTCAAATGGCAGGTCTAGAGTTTGAATCCTATAGATAATGTTTTTTAAAAAATAGCTCTGTAATATGATTAATAGCTATCACTAATTAGTTAAAATTACAATCTATAATCTTGGTTCTACTATCTAGAATAGGAGCTTTGGTGTAATAAATTTGAAGAACCAGAATAACTGAAAACTCATTTGGCAGGTTCTAAGTTGAAAGATAGCATGATTTTTGATAGTACCACAAGAAGACTAAATTTAAAACTGGAAACTGAAACTAGAAAACCAAGCAACCAGGTCTTTAAGTAGGGAGACATACTAGCTAAACTGCCAGGTCACCAAAACTAGAGGAAAAAGATATATGCTCTGGAAGTATATATTAAAGAAAGGGAAATTATAAAGCACTTAAAGCCTGGGCAGACTAATCCTTCTGGGTTGCTAGCTAGAAGTAAGAAAGAGACTAATAAAGAATTCAAGAAAGAAGGAAAGTTCGAATATAGATAATGAAGTTATGTAAATCTTACAAGAGCAAGGAGTATATAATAGGTAACTAATTAGAAAGTTGTGGCTTGAGTAGCTGTGGAATGGCAGCATTCTAAAAGATGGTATGAGATACAAATACAGTGTAGCAGTATAGCAGATACTAGTTAGAAAGAAGTTACTGAATATACAGATAAATACATATATAGGATATGGACTATTCTATTAGATTTACCTTATAGATAGATTAGCTAAAATAATTAATAAGTTCTAAGGTGAGTACAAAATCTAATTAGATAGATGCAAAATCTATGTTTGTATAGTAAGTAATATCCAGGGTTAGATGTAACAAATGATAATTGTAACCAAAGAGTTTAAATGAATATCCCTATAGTTGGAGTGCAAGTATGGCAGATAGTATAGAACCTTCAAGTAGACTACTTAAATTAGACACCAAAAGTGCACATGTGGCTTGATGTATTTTTGTTGTAATTATAAAAACATATATTGTATTTAATAAAAAGTTTCTCAGGCTATAGAGATTACCTTAATACTAAAAAAAAAAAAAAAAAAAGTTTATTAAATTAGAAAATATAAATCTATACAAAATTAAACAAAACTAATAAAAACTAATAAAGCTAAAACTAAAACTATCAAAAACTAAAACTAAATCTAATAGAACTAAAACTAAAACTAAAAACTTCTACTGAAAAACTTTCTTTATTAAAAGGTCAAAAACTTTTTTTATATATATTTTCTATTACTATAATTTAGTAGATTTCAAGAATAGTTATTCTAGATAGTTATTTTAGATTATAGTTCTAGATTGGTCATTTTAGATTGTATATACAGAATGATTATTTGGATAACTATTTGGATTAGCTACTCTAAATTATAGTTCTAGATTTATTATCCTGAGAATAACAATCCTGGGTGGCTATTCTGAAGTAATTTTTTTTTTTTTTTTTTTAAAAAAACTTTGATGGCCTTGCTGAAACTTTATTACAGATTTATTATAATAATTGAATCAAATAATCTTTCTAAATACTGGACTATATATCTAAGATTGCAAGTTTAACATTACCCGGCTGTGTAATACATGTCTAGCTGCGACTTATCGCACCAATATCAAGACTAGTGTTCCGCAGACTCGGACTGAAACCCGGACTCGAACCGGAATCGACTTGGCAGTTCGAGTTCGGGTTTACAATTTTTCAGAACTGACCGATTCAGGTTTGTAATAACGGGTACCCGGTAGGACCCGCATAGACTCGCATGTTTAATCATCTGCCTTCAATGAATATAAAATATTAGTGTTAGAGATCTATATGACGATGATGAACAATATGATAATAAACAATACGATGATGAACAATACGATGACAAACAATACGATAATAAACAATACATGGAAAAAATTTTTCTAAGACATTACTTCTAGTCTAGAACTTACTTTTACACTACACAATTCAAAAAAAAAAAAACAGCTCTAATTTTTCGAACCAGTTCTTGTTAAAACTAAGGCAAGAGTTTATTGAAAAACCGTTGAATTGTATCTTTCTTTTTTTTTTGCTATTATGGAAGACTTTGAAGAGAACAATTACGGTATAAGCTATTCTTCTATAGACAATAATGAAATAGACGATTTATCTGTGGATTCTTCTTGTATCAATGATAATACTATGGAAGTAAATGAAACCGACGAACCATTACAACCACGTACTAGGTCTTTTGTGTAGAAGTATTTTGTAAAGAAAAAAAAAACCTCTTATGCAATATGTACTCTTTGTATCTCTAAAAAAACATTAATAAAATGTATTGACGGATCAACATCAAGCCTTAGAAAACATCTCACCAAACATGTAGGAAAGGTACCTGAACTGGATAAAGAAAAGAAGAAGCTGAATGTTTCTGTTATCGACATGCTTCAAAATCAGCAAACTGTTAATAATCGTCCTAGTGAACCTTTTAATTTAAACATTTTTAAAGATCTTATCAAACGTTGGATTGTTAAACACAATCGACCATTCAGCATTGTTGAAGATAATGAACTCAAGG